TTCAGAGTAGCCACTACACTATGCCTTAAGTTATTTACTAATTCATAGTCTCTATCATTATAGTTTCACTTTAGTGTCACTCATGACTGAAGCGATATCTTGTTTAAAGTTCAATGCCCAATAATGTTGAATTGCATTCCCTTTTTAATTTTTTAAGTTGAACTCACTTAATTTACTTTCCGATGATATATTATTTCCATGATTTTTACTTTAACTTCTGAAATAAAGGAACTGAGCTGGAATCTTGTATGTAGGGTTGTGCGAGGTACCTGGTTGCGATGTGGCTCAAACATGGGATTCATTTCATTTTTTTGCAGCAACTTCTTTTTTGATACTACAGAATATCAATCCAAACAGAGCAATGTACCAAAAATATTTTATGAATTATTGTACCTTTTGTGAATGGTCTTATGAATGATGGAAAATATGTTATTGATGCTAGGTTGATATTTTACATGTATGATGGAGTGAATATTGCACAATGTATACGCTAGCATGGTTTAATTTCAATGCAATTTGTTTTCCCATTTTAATCCTAACTTGTTATATTTATTTTTGACGTATGTCACTTCTCATTATATGTTGGATATTTATTCTGGTAGTACAGGAAGGCAAGCATATATAAAAATGCAAATTAATTTTAAAAAATATTAAAAAGACCAACGACAACATTTGTAAAATGTTGCCAAAACCAAAGGAAGAGATATGGTAATGTTTAAAAAATGTTGCCGTAGAGTCTTTCGCAACGTTTCCGTATCTCTTCCCTCAACGGTAACACTGACTCCCGTAACACACGCTAAAACGCTGCAAAAGACTTTTTACAACGTTTTTTGACCGCTGCAAAAGCTGTTTTTCGGTGTAATGTACTTTAAAGGGTCTTAAAACTTATGTTTATGTTTTAACTCTTGTAAAGAAGGTGTTGTTTTTAAGGGGTTTGTAGATTCTGATTAAGCTAGTGATAGGGACAATAGAAAATCAACCACCTCTTATATGTTTATTTTATGTAGTACTTGTATAAGTTGGNCTAGTGATAGGGACAATAGAAAATCAACCACCTCTTATATGTTTATTTTATGTAGTACTTTTCTTAGTTGGGAATCACAATTACTGTATATTGTTGCATTATTTACCACAGAAGCCAAATATGTGGCTACCATCGAAGCCATAAAATAATCTTTATGGCTTAAAGGTTTGTTATGCGAGTTGATTGTGCTCTCCTAACCTGTAGTTGTTTACTCAGATAGTCAAAGTACTATTCATTTATACAAAAATCCCGTATTATATGAAATGACTAAACATATAGATGTTAAAATGAACTTTATTAAAGATATAATTAAAAAATAATCTATATTACATGAGAAAATTTCAACTCAATTCAACCCTGCTGATATGGGGACTAAGGTACTTCCTCCTAACAAGTTCAAATCCTGTTTACAAATTTTGAAAATTTTTACTACATAATCTTTGCGATACTACAGGTAACCATATCCACTTGATGTTGATGATCACTAGAGTATAGAGGAACATATGTTGGCCGTGGTGGTTGTGCACTGGTTTTGTTGGTCATTAGCATCAAGGTAGAGATTGTTTGGGTTGTGATGCCAAAATATAGTCCAAACAATTGGGCTATAATGAAAACTCGGCTAAGCCCACTAGTTGGTTTTATATTTCCATTGCCTGATAAATCAGTGAAGAAGAAACCCAATTCCCAAACCCAATAAATGACCAAACTCTCACTTTGAAAGAGAGACATTAGTTGCCTCAAGTGGTGAGAGATCGCTTTGAACTGTTGATTCCATTTGAGATCTACGGTGATGGTTGGATTGTATAAATTAGAGCCATATGCATTTTCCCTAATCACTTTCGCCGTATGTTTCTTTGTGTGGGTTCTAGAATATTTTCTCAGAGTTTTGGCACCTTCTTCTTCGTCTTCTCTATTTCGATCCTCTACCTCTGGTTGATTGATCTCTTTGGTTTATTCATGATTCTGAGTCTTTGTGATTCTATCTGTGAGAAGAATGTGTTGGTTTCTATTTGGGGGCTTCGGTTCATAGAAGTAGCTTCGAATGGCTATTGAGGGTTTGGAGTTGGTTCTTTTTGATTTGTACAGAAATGTACAATGTTACAAAGCCCAAGATTGATGATATCCTGATGCCGATGAACATTTTCTTCTTTATTTGGTAGTAAATTTGAGATACTGATATTGTATAAACTTTGGGTTATTTTCGATTTCGTGTTCTAATAAAAGATGAAGAGATAATTTAGCCAAAAATTGAAAAAATCGTTGCTAGATTTGCCAAACATTTCCAAAAACATCAGATTGGTTTTTCTTGAATTCCTTCCAAGTAGCTCAGCCCAGAAAGAATAGAAAACAATGGCTCTTTTAATGAATGCTAGTTTCGGAAAATTTCAAATTGCAGGCAAGGAGAGTTGGAAATTAGAGACGGGGAAAGTCGTTTGGGGCCTTTGTGCTGCCCTATATTTTTTTTACTCACTTTTCTGAATAGAAATTGATAAAGATACCCCAATTGAAGGAAAATTTAGGTTCAACTTCTGCACTTAATATCTCAAGCATTCCGAGCTCCCGAAAATACAAAGAAAGCTAAAATCAAAAAGAAAGAAGAGAAATTAGGCCATGTTTCCGCAGAGGAGCTATGTATGCAATTGTTTGTTTTTAATGTTCATTAAATCAACAATTGGTTGTAGGAGACAGAAGAAGATGATGAATTGAATGCTGGCATGACGGATTGAATGAACTGGATATGACTGACTGCAGGAACCTGCATCTTAGGTGCATGGACAGAAGTGAATCCTGAAAAACCTGCAGAAACTGGTGCAAGAACTGGTGAAACAGATGAAGAGCACATTCCAAACTGATTCCCGTTGGTCATTTGACTGAGTTCCAGGAGCCCATTAAATGCTGATGTATCATCATAAGTACCCATTAATGGCGGCAGGTTGAAAAATTGTGGAGCCCCAGCGCCGCCAGTGATGAACATGGAAGTATCTTCCTGTTCGTTCAATTGTTGCTGATGATCAATCAGTTGAGGTTTCTGGTATTCCGATGGCATCCATACGGGCGGCAGATCATATGCAGTTGAATCCAGGGATGAAAGAGGAAAAGATGGCAGCGGAGTGGGTAAATTGGTATTGAAATTCACCTTATCAAACCCTTGTGGCAGTGGATTATTTGGGGCTGCTGGGATGTAGACTTGATCCATTTGGGCAGTTGGGATCAGATTAGAGTTTGAATTCATTGAGCACAAACCTTGAAAATTGCTCCTGGCAGAATTTGCCAGATTAGAAATTGCGGCTAGATCAGAAACTGGAGCCATATTAGAAAGATTCATTGCCATGAGTTTTTTCTTGATACTTGAATTCCAAAAGTTTTTCACTTCATTGTCTGTTCTTCCGGGAAGATACTTGGCTATCT